GCTCACCCCTGTAATCCCAACATTTTGGGAGGCCAAGGAGGGAGGGCTGATTGAGGCCAGGATTTGGAGACCAGCCTGGGCAACATAGCAAGACCCTGTCTCTATGAAAAATAAATAAATTAGCCAGGTGTGGTACACACTTATGGTCCCAGCTACTTCGGAGGCTGATGTTGGAGGATGGCTTGAGCCTGGGATGTCAAGTCTTCAGTGAACTGTGATTGTGTCATTGAACTCCAACCTGGATGACTGAGCAAGACCTTGTCTCAAATAAAAAAAAAAAAAAAATTTTGAGAAGACAATTATTTCGTTTGCTGCCAAAACAATGGGCTAAAATTTTTAAAAAGGAAGGTTGTATTCAATACATTGAGGAAACAGTTACCATATGCCAAATACTGAGTATGCAACTGTGAGTAAGACATGGTCCTTGTCTTAAGGAATTGAATCCCTTGTGTTAGGGAAGCAGGAGCCTAGGAGAGCCAGAGTGGCACCACTTCAAAAATCAATTCCATCTTGAGACTAACAAGGCACATTCCTTTTTGGTCACAACCCATAATCAACACGTTTATAGTTGAGGAGACAGCCTAAAGATACCTACAAGGACACACTCTTACAAAAGCGGAAAGCCCAGATGTCCCAATACCCATAACAATATATATTTTCAAGATAATTACAGTTAAGCTTGATGTATTCACACACTAGACTGTCAAGGATAGTTATCTTTAAATCAATAGAATAATAAATTTTGTCATGCTGTCTGCTCACCTGCACGTAGACACAGCTTAGCTTTTGACATAGACAAGACCTCTATATAAGGAAAGCTTAAAGCAAAGACAAGGCATGCCTCCTCTTGCTCTCTGGGGATGCCCTACTTTGTAATGGAGTACCTTTTAATAAACTCTCCTCTCACTGCACTCTGCTACTAGCCTTGAATTCCTTCTTGCATGAGATCTCAACCCTCTCTTGAGCTCTTTTTTGGCAACTTGGAAAAGGCATTGTGAATAGATACTTATAGTACAAATTAGTGAGTGACTGCTACAGCAAAGAGGTGGAATTATGAAAACTTGAAAAAAAAAGATGATTAATCTGAGGTCTCAAAGCATGGGTAGTTGAGGAAAGCTGGGCGGGACTTTTTCTTGCATTGAGAATGGCATTTAAGACACAGATCTAGCCTGGTGTGCTCAACTAGGCTAACGGTGAAAACTCAAAAGCTTAAGCAAGAAAGAGATCAGATGTGCTTGTTTGTTTCAAGATAACTAGATCTTTGTGTGGGGAGAAAAATCAAAGTCACACGTTCCTAAATTCCTCACATATATTTTCTGGGCTTGGATTCAGACTCTGCTGGTCACTAGCTGTGACCACTTCCCTGTGCATGAGTTTTCTTGTCTGTAAAATGGGGCTTAAAAAAAAAATAGTATCTTAGCCGGGTGTGGTGGCTCACGCCTGTAATCCTGGCACCTTGGGAGGCCGAGGCGGGCGGATTGCCTCAGCTCAGGAGTTGGAGACCAGTCTGGCCAACACAGTGAAACCCTGTCTCTACTGAAATACAAAAATTAGCTGGGCGTAGCAGCCTGCGCCTGTAGTCCCAGCTACTCAGGAAGCTGAGGCAGGAGAATTGCTTGATCCCAGGAGGCGGAGGTCGCAGTGAGCCGAGATCAGGCCGCTGCACTCCAGCCTGGGTGACAGAGCAAGACTCCGTCTGCAAAAAAAAAAAAAAAAAAAAAAAAAAAAGAGTATCTCCCTAAAAGTGTTGTCAGGAAGCCAAAACGAGCTAATATATGAAAAGTATTTAGAACGCCACCTGTACTATATGTGTTAGCTCTTGTACGAAAGTATTTCTCATGTACCTACCTGATAGCATTATGACTTTCTGCCAGTAAGCAGCTGATTTTTGTCTCATATTTCATTGCCTTTGCTTCAGGTCTCAACGACAGATTTCTGTTTTTGAATAAATGAACCATGGCAAGATTCAAAAATATTTAAGCAATGCTTATATAACATTTAATTCAGTTCAGAAGATACAGACGTTCAGAGTGTGCTCTGCGGTAGGTATTACAAGTGCTCTTTTTGCCCCAAATTCAGAAGTGGATCTTGAACTGCCTAAAGGATTGAGATCTGACATTGTAAGAATGACTTTGTGAAGATACAAACATATGAAGAAAGTTGTTTTCCAGAGATTAAAAAATTATCTACTTACTAAGAAAAATTCCTTTTATGATAATCTTGAGTACCGAGTAAGCAGGTACAACCATCCTGGTGATAACTGTATTCCCATCTGTAAGACTCAGTTGGCCAGGCTTGGTGGCTCATGCCTGTAATCCTAGCACTTTGGGAGGCTCAGGCAGGAGGATCACTTGAGGTCAGGAGTTTGAGACCAGCCTGGCCAACATGGCGAAACACCGTCTCTACTAAAAATACAAAAATTAGACGGCGTTGTGGCACGTGCCTCTAGTCCCAGCTACCCGGGAGGCTGAGGCTTGAGAATCACTTGAAGCTAGGAGGCAGAGGTTGCAGTGAGCTGAGATTGTGCCACTGCACTCCAGCCTGGGCCACAGAGCAAGAATGTGTCACAAAAATAAAATAAAATTTAAAAATAATAAAAGAGTCAGCTGCTCCTCTATTATTTTAACAAAACGGGAACTCACAGATACCAATAAGCAGTTTATTGAAGAATTCTCTTCAGGAAATGATTTCCCATACATTGAACTGATTCTCTTTTCTTGAGTCCTTTTAAATTTGATGTACGGTTCAGACAGCCAAACTTACTGGTAACAGTGAGGAATATTGTAGGGGAAAGAATAAACGTCTTGGAAAGCAAGGCAGTTACTGATAGTTGTGCATACTGGGGAACCACAAGATTTGGATACCAGGACTTTGACTTTTGGTTTCATCATTACGATTTAATCACAGCTGTGATTTAGTCAAGACTTGACCTCTTTAATTTTCATTTTCCTCATTTTAAAAACCAAAGTTGTTTTGAGGGTCAAATGAATGCCCGTGCGGGTGTTTTACCAAATAATTATTTTACTAGCAGATAAAACATAATATTGAGGGTGAAAAGTTATGAGAGGTGCCATATTTTTTTAAACCCTGCGAAGTATCTGATATAGAATTGCAAGAGATGTTAGATTTCATGAAGAAATTGGCTTCTCCCCACAGAGGCAGAGTGACTTGTAACATCTGTAAAAGGTCACAAGCTGGTTAGCGGTAGCCAGAATCTAGGTCTCCTAACTCTAGTTGCCTAGTCTTGCTTTTATATGCCAGTGTTATTCATCATTTATTAAATACACGTTATGGAGGATAAATTAAGTGCAGAGCATTGTGGGTGCTGTGGGTGATCTTATCAGACACAGATCCTTCCCTTAGGGAATCTAGAGATTAGTAGGGATAAGACTCAGTTATAAGTGTACAGTGTGAATGTACACTTACGGATAAAGTATGAATAAGGCCGGGAATGGTGGCGCACGCCTGTAGTCCCAGCACTTTGGGAGGCCGGGGCGGGCGGATCACTTGAGGCCAGGAGTTTGAGAACAGCCTGGCCAACATGGCGAAATCCTGTCTCTACTAAAAGTACAAAAATTAGCTGGGCGTGCTGGCCCACACCTTTAATCCCAGCTACTCTGGAGGCTGAGGCAGGAGAATCGCTTGAACTAGGGAGACGGAGGTTACAGTGAGCTGAGATCACACCACTGCACTCCAGCCTGGGCGACAAGAGCTAAATTCCGTCTCAAAATAAATAGTTATGTGACTTGGTGAAGGTCAATGGCGATTTGGTGGAAGAGGTGACAATGCAGCCACGCTTCAAAAGGCAGAAGGGATTTGCACCTATTATCATAGGGGTTAAAGAAGGCAGTCCAGAGTTAAGAAACAGGATGAGCAAAGACACTGAGGTCTTAAGTCTCAATAAATTTTAGGTAAGTTTCATCGTAGTATAATAAGGGCTGTCTCACTCCGAGACTCTTGCACACTTTTATTGCTCCCTCCGACTGCTTGTCCTGACTGTATAACTCCCCCTGGGCGCCTCACCAGACTCCTCCAGGCCGAGGGAAGGACCGCCTCTTGTTTCCATGGCTCCCTCTCTAACCACCCCCTTCTCAGGATACCTATGACACGACTATTTGACTTTTTTGCCTCCGAGCCCCCACCCCCACGTTTCTGGTCTTGCGAGAACAGGGGCTGGGCGCATGCGTCTATCTCTAACCTGAGCACCTGGAGTGTCCTTTCCTTTTAAGGCAAACGCCTACCCATTCTTCCAGCTTCAGCTGGAATGTCAGGCTCCCCACGCAGTCACGGCCTTCCCTTCCGCCCTCTCCACATATACAGGGCAGGGAAGCTGTGTCTGATTCCTCTTTCGGACTCCAGGGAGTGACACATCATAAGCGCGCAATAAGTGCTAGCGGAATGAATGGAAACGTTCCGACCTGACGCAGCGGATCACCCTAGGCTTCTCCAAGCGAGCACACCTCTGTCCAGGGAGGGCGCAGGAGACGGAGCTGCTGCGGTGAACCGACCCCGACCCCGACGCCGACCCC